CATTTCTCAAACGGTCGACAAATAAGACTTCAATTCAAATGAATTTTCCAGAAGGCAACAATGAGAGAATGCGAGCGGCACTTAGACCCCATGGTGTGCCCTGCAGCGCGGGGTGCAAATTATTGACCTGTGGCATTATGCACCTTGACATTTTGTCTTGTAGCATTATCTTCTGTGACATTATGCACTATGACATTATTTCCGTGGCATTTTATGCTATAACATCATTTTCTGTGACATCTTGTGCTATGACAATTTTATGTCACTTTTTTCGGTGGCATTATATACTAAAACATTATTTTCTATGACATTATTTTATGTGACATTAAATACTATGACATTATTTTATGTGACATTAAATACTATGACATTATTTTATGTGGCATTACGTACTATGACATTATTTTATGTGACATTAAATACTATGACATTATTTTATGTGACATTACGTACTATGACATTATTTTATGTAGCATTACGTACTGTGACATTATTTTCTGTGACATTACGAATTTTGACATTATTTTATGTGGCATAATCTACTACAACATTTTTTGTATGTGGCAGTATGTGCTATGTCACTTTTTTCTGTGTCAGTACATACTATGACATTATTTTCTGTGGCATTACGTACTATGACATTATTTATGTAGCATTACGTACTGTGGCATTATTTTCTGTGACATTACGTATTTTGACATTATTTTCTGTGGCATAATCTACTACAACATTTTTTGTATGTGGCAGTGTGTGCTATGGCACTATTTTATGTGGCATAACATACTATGACATTATTTTTTTTGACATTATGTACTATGATATTTTCTGTGGCATTATGTTCTATAATATTTTATTATGTGGCATTATGTACTATAACATTATTTTCTGTGACATTTTGTACTATGATATTTGATCTTGTGGCATTTTATTGTTATCTGTCGCATTTTGTACAATGGCATTATTTTCTGTGGCATTTTGTACTATGACATTTGGTTTTGTGGCATTTTATTGTTATATGTGGCATTATGTACAATGACATTATTTCCCGAGGAATTTTGTCTTGTGGCATCTTATTGTTATCTGTGGCCGTTTTGTACTAGGATCCTATTTTCTGTAACATTATATCCCGGATTTGAAAATTATGCTTTAAACGTTGGATGAGTTGAGAATATTATTTATTATATTTAGAAGTCATCATGACCCGACCTTCTCAACACAACAAACATTTAGACACGTGTTTTATCTGCTGGATGTTTGTTAATTAGCCAATCAGGGTATAGATAACATATTTGTTTGGGTGCGAAATGGGATGAAAATGGAAATTACAGATACATCATTGGCGGTATGATCTCTGACAGATTAACTAAACTTTCCTTTTAACACGAAACTGTCATTAAACCTGATTTGTTGTTTTTTGGGGTATTTGTTATATCCAAGTAAGATTATTGCTACACATGATTTTAAGGTCAGGATACTATACCGATGACAAATGAATCGTTTAGGGGTTTTTTTTGTGAACTTTTTCTTTCTTAACAAAATGATTGGTGTGAAGATGACTGGACAAAAACTAACTGCATTAGTAGTAGTAGTTGGAGGTTTAACGTCTGCTTCCACAATAGGAATATCACAGACAAATATTAAAGGAGCCAAGTTGCTAACTCAGTTTCATCCACGGTCTTCGACATTGCAGACACGTCTTGTCAATTTAAATCAAAATTGATGTTGTTATTTTACCCTGAGAAGATGGTCTTCTGATATCCAATATCCAATATCGCGTGCCAGAATGCTTTCGATCGCTATTTGTAATAAAGCGATTCGATGAACGAGGCTAAACATACCCTACAGGAAAATACTACAGGTATAGACTAGAAAAACAAGAAGGCCATTCAATTTTGACTCTTCGCATATTTCGCAGAATATAACTGATTAGAAATTAGAATAAAAAAAGAAACGATTGAATGTAAATCGTACATTCATAATCCATTACTGTATGCGTTGTGGCCCATTGTGTCCATTTCTAGGTTGCAAAAAATACAGATTTAGCACCTTTAATGTAGTTCCTTCTTTTTATAGTCTTTGTGATGTAGGATCACAGAAAAGACTTTGAATTTACATTTTCCACCAGGTTTTAGTAAATATTCATGATTTTGAGTAAAGAGGTTGGTTATATTTAACTGTAGGGCAGATAGTAACATATTTACTATAATACCGCTTCCAGTTTATGTACAATGTACCTGAAGATTTCCATGGCGACCCTCACACATACTTTTCAGCATAGTGTTGCATGATGTATACCAATCTTCATTGGCCCGATTGGTGCAGCCTTTCCAACCTCATGGAAAAGATCCCTACGCGCAAGCGAATTATTGAAATAAAATTGAACCATATGTTAGTCCCGAAATGACCTAGTTTGTGTCGAGTGGACGTTACCCCCTCCTCTCTCTCTCTCCCTCTCTCTCACCCCCCTCTCTCTCTGTCTCTAATCCCCCCTCCCCCATCTCTCTCCGATTGGTGCAGATAAGTAGGACTTTAAACCCCATTTCATTTCACTTCACCTTCTGATACCGTAACACAGATGTCTACAGTTGTTGGTGAGTTCTGGCTCACAGGTGCTGGTGTAAATTTATCATCTTCCTTTTGATCTGATAGTGTTACACCCCCCGTCCCCTGAAACTCCTGTGGTTCCCCCCAATAAACAGTAAAAACGATACACGAGTTCACGTGATATGATTACATACAGATGTTGATATATAAATATAATATAATGTAATGCACGTGCTATATAATAATTGGTTAATACCATTCACCCCTGCCACAAACAACCAATTCCAAATATGGTGAAAGGAGTGTTGTCGGGCTGTGCTTGCGTATTCTCTTTCCGGAAGTGGTGTGCGTGAGTCGTCTAATGTGTGGCTTAGTTTCTTTCCGTGTTGCTTGTATGTGACAATGAGTAGAATGCCCTGGGCTAAAAGCCGCAACGCACAAAAGTATTCGTGAAATAAAATTTAACTTTATGTCAGTGTTCAAATGACCTAGTTTGTGAATATCTCTTGGCAGATTTTGATCTCCATTGCCTCATAATCATATTGCTCAACCAGTGTCAAACATACCGTAGTTGACATATGCTACAAATCGATTCTAGAGTCTCAAATTTCTCGTAGGGTTGGATGGCCGAATGGTTAGCACGTGCGCGCTGTACAATAAGGTCTGTCATTGAGTCAACTGGCGTGGTTTCGATTCCCCAGTTGTATGTGAGTAGGGTCGCCTGTCGAATCTCGTGGGTTTTTCCTATTGCTAAAGACCCCTATACGCAAGCGAATTTTTGAAACAAAATTGAACCATATGTTAGTCCCGAAATGACCTTGTTAGTGTCGAGTGGACATTAAACCCTCTCCCCCCCCCCCCCGGATTCCCTCTGACGATATAAATATTGAGTTTTTGCGCCCCAAATTTTAAACTATAATATATACATACTTATGAACGGGATCTTGTTTCCATTGAAGAGGTTCCCATAGGTGGACTTCAGGACAATGTTACGTACAGCCCTAATCTATTGTACCTATTGGTCACATTAATGTATCTGTTGACACGATAGATTCGCCCACATTCTAGATATCAACTGTTTCATTATGGTGGTCGTAACAGTAAAGTGGCACTTGTTTGATTGTAAATTTGAACTAAAGATTACTATTGACTTGACCAGATTGAGTTACAATACGGTGTATCCTATACTGCTCACGCCTGACATAATCAAAATATCGCGGTTTAATTTCTTGGTTACACTTTAAAGTCTCCGATCGTCCTTTGAGACATTTTGAATTCCCTGCAAATCATAATATTGTGAAAGTATAGTTTAAACAACATGTAATTCATTTGAAAAGAATTGAACAACAAGGATTACTCTTCAAAAAAATAGTAGGGGATATTCAGAAACAATACAAAACGGCGGAAATGCACTGCTGGTTTTATTAGAGGTAACCAGTGTGTGTTAATAACAGGCCAATTGCCTACACATGAACATAAACAGTTCAAATGGGCGGCTTATCTGACGGTCCCATTTCACTCGCAAAGAGATACACTGTCAAAAGTGAAAATGGACGTTTTTGATTTTTGTCTTAATAATTGCTCCACCAATCTTCAGACATTCAGCAATTCGTCGTGGCATGCTTCTAATCAACCGTTCAATCACGATTTGGAGCAATCTGACCCACCCCTTTTGCTGCGCCACGGCCAATTCGTGCGGTGTTATCGGTCTCCCGATCAAATTAGACGTAACGCAGTAAAGCAAAGATACGCTAAACAGTAAATCTTATGCAAGAACCGATAGGAAAGCAAACATGGATAGGATAAACCAGCAAGCGGCAGTTTTCATCAATTTGACAATGAACCTCTCCCAAGTCTTTGGCGCTATTGCGTGTCGCATGTGCAGCTCAGTGGTTCTGTTGGGGTGATACATTTTTCATCTGTGAACATACTCTCAAATCATGTCAAATGTACATGCCTATTTATCATATCACAACCTGCATAGGTATTTGTATTTCAATATCCCCTACTTTTTTTTAAGAGTATATACACGTAATAAATTGTAAAACCGAACATATACACAGTTTCATTTGGGCTATATACGAAATACAGGTGATGCATTAAGAATATTTAAACGAGAATCAAAACATTTTGGTACTTTTCATAAAATTATGGACTGCTTCGAATATCAAAATATCAGAATTGTTCAAAAGGTCTGTAGAGTCATTCAGAATTAGAAAGTGTCTGAATATAAAGCATCTGCAAGGAATTCCACTAGTTACACGTTTAAAGGAGAGACATGTTGTTCTTAGGAGAGATATGCTTCGAAAAAATACTAAAGCTCCGCAAATTCATTGGACAATAATTATTGACGGACTATTCCAAGATAGCGGCGATGACGTCACGCTTGGTTCCTGGTCCATACAGTACGATCGTATTGTTTTTAAATTTTTATTTTATGATGCATTATTTCACAGGTAACGTCAGGTGTTGAAGAAACTGATTGGGGACCATGGACGGACTGGTCTGTTTGTAGTAAATCATGTGACCAGGGTGTTATATACAGACAACGACATTGTCATACAATTGCCAGGTAGCGTATTTTTACATTCACAGAGGCCAACAGGTACAGGGGTGGTGTGGGGTCTGGGGGATGGCTAAGGGGAGGGGTAGATTCATCCACCCAACAGTTTTGCTAATCAATTTTCCTTATTTTCCTTATATACAGACAACGACATTGTCATACAATTGCCAGGTAGCGTAATTTTACACTCACAGAGGCCAACAGTTACAGGGGTGGGGTGGGGTCTGGGGGATGGCTAAGGGGAGGGGTAGATTCATCCACCCAACAGTTTTGCTAATCAATTTTCCTTATTTTTGAATTTAAAAAGGGTGGTGTGGGGGTGGGGGCGAATCCCATTTTGGTTCGCTACTCTGAATATGAATACAAGTCAGCGTGAGCCGGGGGGCTGGTGGTGCGGGTGGGATAGGGCTTCAGCCACCCTAATGATTTTATAGCAAACAGTTTTTCAATAGTTTAAAAAATTTCACTGCAGGAACCTCATTTTGACTCGCTACGCCCCCCCACACCCGCCTGCGATCCACAACCTTGCCTCGCTATATGGAAACTTCGTTCGGTTATATATTGGGCTTGTCCTGAAAGAACCCAACGTTATAACCCAACGTTGAATCGTACATCACTCTTTTCCTATTCTTTCAAAACACAGGTAAATTGTAAATTCTGATATTTCTTGACAAAGTCAAACGTTAGATACCTTGTTTTTACCTGGTGGTCGGTAGACATCAAACAGACACCGTATAGGTATTACGGTATATGTAAATACTCAATCACACCGCCCTTTGTTGTAAAGATAAAAGTTAATTTGTTAGACGGTGACTCCGTGACCCCTGTGTTACAGGAATGACCACGTAAACAGGTGTTTCAACAGACGTGAAGATCTAACGGGTAAATCTGACATGAGTCAGTTACCTTGACTTGCCGGTTCAGACTACCTGGATTCAGTGCTACTGTACTGAAGACCTCACCTTAAAAGACCCCGGGCATTGTTACTAGAAATTAGGTTAGTGTTGTCTTCTATCCCACTGATCAGAGATTTGCAAGGAAAAGAGCACGCTGAGAATGTAGCCTTGAAGTCTCCATCGTATTTATTTTTAAAAAGCTTATTATAGTTTCTACCCCCTGGTAGAAGATATTACGTTTATGACCAGAATCAGAGGGCCGGTGATAATGAGCACGGCCCTCACCCCAGGGCAGAAGTTTCAGTGCTCCCCCTCCCCCTGCATATTGTAACTGCTGTGTTCAGTGGCTGCGCTCAGTTGACTTTTCATGATTAAAGGTATTTCAAAATACAATTTTTTGTACTTTTAATAATTTATCTAAATAACTATTTTTATTAAATCAACTTATATGTAAATTTTATATTTATTTCATCCCCAATCCTCCATTTGATCGAGAGACCCTATGTCTTGGAAAATCATAATTCTACCATCTCTATTTGCTGAAATATGAACTGGTTTACACAGGTTTAGGTGATTTTCCCCCTTTTGAATATTTCTGGTATGCAATTAGATAATTTGACCCCCCACCCCCACCCCCACAAGAAGTGTCGACCCCGGGCATATGCCCCCCGCCCCTCAGCCTCCCCCTATGTGAGGGCCCTGATAATGAGTGCGTGAGTAGCAATACTCATGCGCCACTGCCACATTGAATTTTGCGCCAGAAATCAAAAGTGGATTTAATTGCAAAGCAAAATAAAATTCTTCATACTCCAAACAAAATTAATACCACTTTCATTTTCCAAGTGGATGAGATCCAGTGAATGTTTTGATTGTTGTGGGTGCGAGGGTCAATCTGGAAACTGGAAAATGTAACATACGTGATTTTTTCGTATCATATCATTGTATTCTCCAATTTCAATTTTTGGACCCGAAAGTGGACGTCCTTGTCAAAGTCGAAGGTAAGGGTGATTTTGGCGCCGGGATCGAGCTGTATTTTGGCGCCACAATATTTGGTTTGGCCGTACTCAACCCTAAATGACTATCACCAGGCCCCTGACCTGAATCAGCCGTTCATGGCGAGGCTCGTTGGAAACCATGGGATTGTTCTAGAGAGAATCGAACTTGCTTCTCAATAGTTTACTGTAAAACTGTTCACACACCACCATTTATTTTCCTAGGTTCGTTCCTGCCCATTTCAAATTTATGTACCCGCACCTGTTTTTAATGAAGATAATCAATGTTCTTTATTGCAGTGATGAAACCCAGTCATCGAGTAGTAATTTAAAGTGCATCGGTGACAAAAAACAGTTTAAAATTTGTCAGATACAGGTAAACGCTTCTTCCATGATTTAAACTGCGACTGGAGTTATACACTAACCCTAATTCAGTGCTGTTTGTACTAATCGAATATCCTATGTCATTATTCGAATACTATTCGAATACTCGATTCAATTGAAAACTTCATTGTTTTTCGCCGTTTTTTGTTGCATGATCCGATTTCGATTAGTTGATTTTATTGAATAAATATTAGTAAATATTTCATAGAAGTCAAAGACCAGACCAACTAAATATTGGAAACCTATTACATTTCATATATTTGATAGTAACATATCAAATTCCATTAGTTCTGATTGACATCGAATGCAGATTTCAATTCAAATTGCCTCGGTTTTTACCCCACACGAAAGACCATTTCCTTGACAGCCCTACAACCCCGCACCACATACAAGGGAAACAAGGCTGAAAAATTCTGGGAAATTTTCTCAAGCAATACCGAGCCATGGTACATGTTCTAAGACATACAACAATATATTTATTTTATTATAAATGTAATATTTTATAGAGATGTCCACCACATAGTGTAGATGTATCGGTATCAGAGTGTAGTAAACAGAACAACCAAATATACGGTGGTAAAAAATATACATGGGAGCCGTTCAGAAATCGTAAGTTGACCTTTCTTCTTTTTTTCAGAAATTGAACCTTTTTGGTCGAAGGCAGTCTGATTAAAATACAGATCTATATTTCGTTTCGTTTTTTTATACTTTCGATGGCCTAACCTACCAGATCTGGCCAGTTGTACTGGAAGGTCGTGATAGGGGTCGTACGAGCGGATTTGACCCTATGACGTCAGATATTGATTAATCAATAAGCGTTGACTTTCTAGTGGTTTACCCACAGATCTGTGCATCACACGCCAAGAAGTCATCGTAACAGATGGTTTCATTGGCTAATCCCTCACGCCATCCAGAACGCAGGTTATATAACAACTCTTTCAGATCCTAGTGTTGTATAGACAAATGAAACGAAATTTCGAACTATAAAAACGAAACGAAATAGCATCTGTGTTTTAATCAGATTGGCTCGAAGGCTACCCAGGGGCAAATTGTCACTAGTAATATTTCGTCTATCATCTTTGATTAACGATTAATTTGAAACTAAAGGCTCACATCAGAATTTGTCGTTACATGCTAAAAGGTGATCTCGGACCAAATGGTCACTGATAGAGTCATGGGCAACGGTTCGATTATCATCAATGATTAATGATTAAATGGAGACTTTTCCACGCGTGAAACTAAACGCTTCACATGCGAATTTGAAGCTCCTTGGTCCAAAGTAACCTCGGGGCAAATAGCCACGAGTAGAATCACGAACAACCTTTTACTTACCATCAGTGATTAATGAAACCAGTGATAATTTGATACCTTTTAAACCGTAAAACTAAACGCTTCACATGCGAATTCGATGTTAGTTGCTTGAAGGTAACCTCGGGCAAATGGCCGCTGGAAGAATCACAGGCAACATTTGGAATATCACCAATGATTAATGAAATCATTGATAATGCGAATTTAAAGCTACTTGGTCCAAGGTGACCTCGGGACAATCGGTCACCAGTAGCCTCACGAGAAACCATTCGCCTATCATCCGTGATTAATGAGATCATTTATAATTTGAGAGGCTTTCACAAGTGGCTTTTTAAAACTAATTATTTCCATTGATTTTCCCTCAAGCAACTGATACTCTGCTATCAAAACATAAGTACGGAAAGGTGTAATTGAAACGTCTCCGGGCATTAATTATTTGTTCTTAAAAAGAAATGTCTGTCTGGTTGTACGAGTTTATGTGTTGATTTAAAGGCTCAAAGCAATCCTCTACATACTACTACTTCAAAAATGGAGTGAAGTTATGGGTGTTTGAAGTTTTGACAAGATATTCTCGATTTTCAAGTACCATATTGATACGATAATAAACAAAGTCTCGATTATCCATATTAACATTAAACTATTAATTGGCGAATGTATTCTAATCCATTAAATATCACGGTCGTCCGATGGTCTAGATAGTTGATTCTGGACTTGACATGTGAATAAATGCTTAATTAATACATTTAAAGGCCCAAATAGGCAGATTTAGCTCCTACATAATGCGCCTTTAATATATGTTAATAGATTTTAAACGGATATGCTTTTTATTGTGGGGGGTTGGGTGGCCGAATGGTTAGCACGTGCGCGCTGTATCATAAGGTCTGTCATTGAGTCAAATGGCGCGGTTTCGATTCACCGGTACTGTTCGTGACAAGGAGTAGGGTCGCCTGTCAAATAAAATTGAACCGTGTGTTAGTCCCGAAATGATCTAGTTTGTGTCGAGTGGACGTTAAACCATCTCTCTCTCTCTCTCTCTCTCTCTCTCTCTCTCTCTGGGGCTTTATATAATGTTATTTTATAGAAAGTTTTCCTTTTGTTTCAGCATATAATAGATGCGATCTATCGTGCAAAGCTAAAGGTCATCATTATTATTCTAGAATCAAAAAAACTTTATCAGATGGAACACCATGTAAGCATGATGGAACTTCATATTGTTTGGCAGGGGAATGTCTGGTAAGTACCTATCAATTTATCTCATTTTTCCAGAAGATTTAGAAACTAAACAATTACATGAATTCTCCACAATATTTTATAAAAATAATGTAATCTATGTTGCCATTTTTCTAGAACGCAAACCCTTATCGTCTGTTAATCTTAAAAAACAAACTAACGAAAATCACCATATAATGCCATGTTTCCAACACAGAAAGACTTAAACGTCTAGTTATGCACCCCACACCCCAACACCACCCCCACTCTCCCTAACGAAACTCTAACAATATCAATAAAATGTATATATATTCTATACATTGTGCTTAAGAAACACGGATGCTTTTAACATCCCTTTATACGCCCCCCCCCCAGCCCCTTCATAAAACCCGACTCCAGACAAATATACATAAAGAAAGGAATCTATTTGAAATATTGTACACATCGTTTAATAGAACGAAAGAATTCGCCTTCTTATATTTTACAAAGGGACAAAACCTCTTAAACGCTCAGAGTGTAAAGCACTGGCCCATTAACCAAGAGAGTTTCTCGGTATTTTCCAGCGTGGGTTCCTCCTGCCAGTGGTGCGGGGCGGGGGGAGGGGACTAGGGTGCAGGTAAAACAGTCACGTTGGTTGAGAGAACAAGCCGTTGCAGTGTACGTAAAAGTGCCTTTGGCTATTGGAATATGCCCGTCTTCATTAGCCCGGCCCGGTTGGTGCAGAAAAGTAGGACGTTAAATCCTATTTCATTGTTAAGTATAGTTTAATGGTCGAGAGCGAGACATTAAGTAATATATTGTAATAACAAAAGGGTCGTAGGCCCGAGTGTTTTTACAATATATGATGCAATGTCTTAAGCTCGAGACCATTAAGATTCCCCGGTTGTACGTGACAAGGAGTAGGGTTGCCTGTCCAACTTCGTGGGTTTTCTCTGGGTTCTCCGGTTTCCTCCCACTGCTAAAGACCCCTACGCGCATGCGAATTATTGAAATAAAATTGAACCATGTGCTAGTCCCTAAATGACCTAGTTTGTGTCGAGTGGACGTTAAACCCCATTTCCCTCTCTCTCTCTCTCTCTAGAGCATTAAACGACTTAAAATACAGACACGTGCTTTTGCAATGAAATGCTGTAGTATTCAGATGTTGGAAGTGACAGAGTCCACTGTAATGGATTCTGTAGTCGAAATTTCACAGAACTTCTTATGACTTCTTGAAATTAAGACTTACACACTTTATTTAGATTTTGAAATACACATAAAAATACACGAATTACATTAAAATGGTGCTTTCCGAAAGCCGTACAGAAACACATATCAGTGACATTACCTTTTACAAATTTCTTTATCAAATGTGTCAAGTAGAATTGTGTTTGGGGTTTGTAAAACATGAATTTCGTGCATTCTGGTGCTTGAAAATAAAAACCTAATTTATAATACCCGAAGATGTACATGCATTCCATTAAAAAATAATGTATTCTGACTTGTAATAAATTTTTATAAATGTTTTTTTCTGGCACCTTGAAAGGAAACCTTTACCACTTTGCATGTAATAAAAACTTAATTTATAATAGCGCAAGATGTACATGTATTCCATTAAAACATAATGTATTCTGGCCTGTAATATATTTTTATGAATGTTTTTTTTTCTGGCACCCCTTGAACCGAAACCTTTATGACTTTCATATATCTCTCTCTTTCATGTACATCCTTAAAAGAACGGGACATGATAATAAATTAAAATGTACATAAATAAATGAGTGTGTCATTTTATACTGAATTGAGATAAAATGAAATGGGGTACAATCTCCTACATTTCTGCACAAAAAGAGCTAATGCATAGAAATGAAATGAAATGAAACTGCGATTGGGCTAATGAAGACGGGTATATGCCATACAGTGTGCTGTGAGGGAAATTTTGTCCGGGCAGCGGCGCTACGGATTACTTTTATATAGAATTCCAACTGTCAAGGGTTCTTTTGTGTGCACACCAATGTGTACACCGTTCCTTGCCAGGCTCTCCGTCCCGCACCACTAAAAAATGGTGACCAACTGTAAAATAAGATGAACTTTATCGGCCAACACCAGGAACGAACCCACGACCTCCTAGTTAGCGAGCCAGCGCCTTAGCCACTGGGCCACCGCAGTTCCCAAGACCACTTGAATGAAACTCCTACGACAAAGATGTTGTTTTTTTTTATATATATATGAAACTGTTAACCCGTTGCTTGTCGTTATACAAACATATGCAACCAATTCTAACCAAACCAAGGTTACAATACAGATGTTTCGACATGTTGATTTTAACCGTGGGTATTCCGGAATCAAGTTTCTAAACGTTAACGAAAATTGTTATTTCTGTGTCAGCTGTAAGTTAAGATAGCTGTTGCGTAGCGTGAATGAATTTCCGACATTCCTAATGACATTTTACTCAGACCTCCGGCAATTTCCGTTAATTCCATTCTATCCGAAAATCAACAAGGAAACATTAAGTGTTAAATGTATTTTATTCCTAATATTAAGTAGCTGGACTACTACACCACACACAAAAAGCCAACAAGACAAACGTAATGACATTATAAACCTTAAGTAGCTGGAAGACCACCCCATTTACAACAAACCAACAAGACAAACCCACGGACACCGTAAACCAAATGTAGCTGGAAGACAACATCACATACAACAAACCAACAAGACAAACCCAAGGACATTGTAAACCAAATGTAGCTGGAATACCACGCCATACACAACAAACCGACATGACACATCCACGGACACTGTGAACCAAAAGTAACGTGAAAACTACCCCACATACAACAATTAACTGGAAACCAAACACGACAAATACAAGAGAAAGTAACGTCCACTCGACACAAACTTGGTCATTTCGAGACTAACATGTATTATATTTTTATTTTATTCTTTTGTCATAGGTTAAATCACGGGTTTGAAACGTGAGCAAGGAGTGGGCTTTTAGAATCCCCATACGCGAAAGCTAATTATTGAAATATAACTGAAACAATGTGTTAGTCTCGAAATGACCTAGTTTTGTGTCGAGTCTACGTTAATCCATCTCCCTCTTTTGAATTCATTCTACTGCTAAAGACCCATACGCAAAAGCTACTTATTAAAATAAAATTGAACCATAAGTTAGTCCTGAAATGACCTAGTTTGTGTCGAGTGGACGTTAACCCCCACCCCACCCCTGTCCCTCCCCCCTTTCTCTCTTTATCTCTCTCTCGATCTCTTTCTTGAATACAACACACGGTGTGGTATTTGTCAAATTATCTACATATACGTGTTAACACATCCAGCCAGCATTCCAGCATGTGTACATGTACCAGAAATATTTTCTATAAACTTTGTTTTTTGAAATGCCACAGTAGAGAAAAAAATATATTCTTTGGCCCGAGGGATGGTGTATGGTATGCAAGTAGATGATGTAAACATTGCCGAATTCTTCTAGAATAATCAAGAAGATGGGCAGCCATTAAGAAGAAAGCGGCTGTGCCAAGAACGGTTTATTTATTTGTAATCAAGTTGAACAATAAAGGCGCCGACAATAAAAACTTTCCATATTCAACACCGTCTCTCCTAGGGCGATATATAAACCTTTAAAACTTACTTCATATTTCATAAACCGTCGACATCCGGCATTCTTTAAGATCTTCAAGTGTTTTGGCAGGTTGTTTTCGGGTGCTAGTCAGTTGGTTTAGGTCGCATTTAGTTCTGTATTAAGTGCCTTGGGAATCCTGAAAGATGTCGTCGGGAATAGGCTGGCTTTTTGTAATAAACTTGCCACTGTGTTCATATGTCAAATTTTACCTGATGCAAAAGCGTAAGTTCAAGATTCCAAGTATTTTTTTTATCCTGTGCAGAACGACGTTAAAGAAGGGGTATTTGTTTCGGGGCATTTCTCATAAACCGTTGAAGATATCTTTATGAAACTTTGTATACACTTCAACCCGTTATAGTAGTGTTTACTATCGAGAATAATTGGTGTGTTTCCATGAAAACAAATTTGACTCAGTTATTGACATACAAGGGGGTGGGATGTGTTACCACGAAAACAAATTTGACTCAGTCATTGATATACAGGGTGGTGGGATGTGTTTCCATGAAAACAAATTTGACTCAGTTATTGATATACAAGGGGGTGGGATGTGTTTCAATGAAAACAAATTTGACTCAGTTATTGATATACAGGGTGGTGGGATGTGTTTCCATGAAAACAAATTTGACTCAGTTATATATATACAAGGGGGTGGGGTGTGTTTCCATGAAAACAAATTTTACTCAGTTATTGATATACAAGGGGGTGGGATGTGTTTCAGTGAAAACAAATTTGACTCAGTTATTGATATACAGGGGGATGTGATATTAATGACTGGGTCTGAGTCAGAAAGAATCGTGTACAACAAAGAGTTTGATTTCGTTCAGTGAGCTTCGTTAAGATCATGAACGATTAATTCCGGTGACAAACGAACTGTCCATAATAAATATAGAGAAGAAGAGAACGGAAGGGGTCATAAGATCCCGTTTGGTGCAAGCATGGGAGCATGGGGTAACAAGCACCACACAGACAGAAAGGTCCGACCTTACGAGCTTCAAGTCCCAATGGAGAGCATTTTTGTGGAGTTCCTGGTCTGTTTTGGGGGAAAAGCTTCATTTAAGAGACAATGGAATTCAAACCGAAATATTCAGCTATTTGCTGTTGAGTTATATGGACTCGTATTAATCCAAAAATAGAAATATTGTAATTAATTTATAAAAACCAACCAAGTCCAATCTGAATGGAATTAAACAAACTTTTTGTGGATATCTACAAACTTATTGAATCTTACAAACCTCCATGTTTCTCAAATACAACGTTTGAAAACTCAAATTCTTAAATTGGTTGGCTTCTAAAATAGTGACCTATAAAAAGATTAATTAACTTTGATGTGATAATAAACCAAGTCTCGATTATCTAGTTTTACGTTAAATTATCCATGTTTAACATCCATATTCATCAATTTGTCGGATTA